TCAAAAATATCATTTGTCTCTTTAAGAAATAAAAAAAATATATATAAAATCAGGTCAAGTATGCAACCTTTTTTTTAGAAGGCTCGTATGCCTAATCTTTCTTTGACTTTTTTATTTTGCTTTTTTATATTTAAGTAAAAAATAAATATAATAAAAAAATTATTAAACTCAGTAGAATCTATAATTTATATTATAAATTTAATGAGTTAACTCAAAGTCCATGTTAATCTAATATTTTATCATTTGAACACTTTTTTTATGAAAAAATGCCAAATTGAGATTTAAAAAAAAATATTTGATTTATTTTAAATTTATTTTCACAATATATTTATTTTTTGTATGACTAATTTGTTCAAATTTGATTATTACATGATTGTTATGGTCTTATAATTTGATTCGTAAGTAAAACAAGTTACCGTATGTTGTTTTAACATATTATTGTGTTAACATTTATTTTTTAAAAAAATATTTATAAATTTTTATTCCTTTAATTTGTTATCTTTGGATTTCATTCTTTAGTTAGTTTTTTTAGAAAAAGCTTCTTTATTTTTTATTTTATAATTAGGTAAAATAAATGAAAGAAATAATTAAAAGTGAAGTCCTTACCAAACTCGAATCGATTAAATATATTATTATTTTAATTTTTGTTAAGGAAAAAGATATGATACCATAATCTTTACCATTTATTTTATTTTAAATTGATTTTCATGATATAATTGTTTTTAATAGGATTAATTTTTTTAAAAAATAATTTTTTATTATCTTGATTTGTATTATAGCACCAGCTCCATGCAGCCTCGTGGCCCATCAATTAAGGAATTGAAAGTAACTTATTAACCTTTCCTTCATCTTCTTGTGCTTGAGCACCCAAATGTGCCTCCTCCTAGCTTAGTTCACTCCTAAAATACAGTATTTCCTTCAATCTTAACATCTACAATTCTGGAGAGTCTCGGCAGAGATGAGTGACCCCATGCATGCTTCTCCTTACCCTGCTCAAGGTAATCATTCATCTTCGTCATCTTTACAATCTCATACGCATCTTCTTCTTCTTTTTCTTTCCTTTTCCCTTTCAAATAAATGAGTTTGAGCTGTACATGAAAGGGTTTTGCTTCGTTTTTCTACTTAATTATGATATTAATCTCTCTCTTTTCATCTCTTTTTGTTTAAACTGTTAATTTCCAGTGGGATTTTCTTTAGAGGATCGCTCGACAGTTGATCTGAGTCATGAATAATTCTTTTTCTTTCCTTTTGAACTTTCGTTTTTCCGTTACCTATTCCATTATCACGATAACACCTCTGCAATATAATGCTGCTCCACCCCGGCGGAAGAGCGTGGTTTCCTTGAGGAATGGTAATTTCTTTAATTAGACTTGTTAAAATTCTAACTGAATTACATGGATTATAATATCCTAAATAATAACAAATATTATCTTTTTTTATCTTTTCTTTTTAGTTTTTTTAATTAATATTGATAGTCATATCCGCTTGCTTTATCTTAACTAATCTCACAAATTTTTAAATAAATAATTATATAAACTTCCACTAACTCTAGATTTATAGAATTTAAACTAGTAATATTAATATTTAGATAATAAACTCAAAACCTAACTAATTAAACCATATACTGCTCTCATTTCTTTTTATTATATATGTTTGATAAGATATGTGTCGTAAAAAAATTAGCATGATTCAATAATATATCTACATCTATATAAAAGTGAGAAAAAAACTTTGTTTACTGCATCAAAATAGAATTATATAATATATATTTATAGTAAATCATATCATAAACTACTCAATAAATTCTAGAGATTTATAAAATTCTAACTATCCAAAAAATATTAATAATTTTGTTAATATCTTTTACGGTAGCAAGAAGCAACACGCCTGTACCCAACTTATTAATCATTCCCGGCAACAAAACAAAAAATAAAACTCAAAGAGACATATGTTGCCCTATTCCAGCATATTCCCATGAGCCACAAGCTACAGCAACACATATAGTTCTTGAATTTTAATGTGTTTGTTTGGTTATATTCATTGACACAGCCTCACAATTTTGTGTTTTTGCTGCCTTGTGCAAGAGTGTTGCTTCGATCCCCCCAGCATGTGCTAGTTTGCTGTGTATTTATTATCTGTCGTAGCTTGAATATTTTAAATGAGAGGGTAAATTAATTAATAAATATTATATTATATTATATAAATATATATTAAAAATTAATTTAAAACAAATATACTACTTTACTTTATATAAAGTAAAATTAATTTAGAAATACTTTTAAATAAGAAAATATATATTATAATTATTTTTTTAAGTTTTTATAATAATAAAATTCAGTTCAGTTATATAATAATTATAAATTATTCATATAAAATTCATAATAAAATAAATATTAATTTATTGAAACTTATTTCATATTCCATTACCCTATAGCATGCCGTACATAATACATGAATATGGATTAGGATTGATAATTTAAATTTATCATGATAAATCATTTTCAAAAACAAAAAAAATAGGTTTTTTAAGAAAAAACCAACCTTTAATTTGCAAATACCAATCTTTATTCACTAACAATAATTAAAATGTTTGCTTATTCATCTAGTAAAAAAAATTAATTTTATATCATAAACAATTCAAATAAAAATAATATAACCTTTAATTAATTCAAAACAATCAAATCAATACTTATTATTTAAAAACAATTTAAAATAATAACAAAAATAAGGGGGCAGTTGCCCCCTAATCTCCAATGTGGCTCCGCCACTGCCCGACAACATTACTATAATATTCACTGTTCAGTATGGATCTCCTTCTGATCTTTCTTTGAGTGGCAGCGCACACAAGATTGAAAAAACTTATTTCTAAGTATCCGTTGATTGATTTAGATTATTTGAGTCCTTGGTCTTGCACGGTGGCGGAGCCACCGTGCGACAAAAGGGGGTAATTGCCCCCTTAACCTTTTTTTTTTTAATATTAATATATTAGTTTAGAAAATTGTTGCTGCAGGAGAAGGAAAAAAAGAAATTGTTACTGTTTATATTTATTGACTTATATATTAATATAATACACACACACAAATCATTCAATAAATATTTCCTTTTTTTTCTTTTGATATATAATATAATATAATATATATACATAGCTAATTCATAATTTTTTTTTTCATTTTTCTTTTGTTTCTATGTCAAATCAATGCTACAACCTTAAAAATATGGAATCCCTTTATTGACAAAGAGTATTTTTTGTTCCCTGTCTTTGCCGCTTTATTTTTTTAATGAGCTGCTATGTTGATTTTTTTATTCATGAGCTGTTATTCTCTATCTCTCTGGTATGCAAATTTCTCATTAAATATAGTTAAGCAATTAATTTTTTTGCCTTTTGTTTTATATTTTAGGTAAAAAAAATTTATTTTTTTATTTATTTCATTGTTTAATTTTAATTTTATTCTTTTATAATTAGTTACTAAAAATATTATGATTTATGATAATTTAGGGGTTTTTGATATAAATATGTTCAAAATAAATGTTTCAATCTGCTAATTTATTCAATTAAATGTTTCTTTTTTATTATAAAGGAATAAATTAATATTCATGCAAAACCACTATTATTGACATCTCTTGCATTGGTAGTGTAGTTTATTGAAATTTAATTTTTACATGACTTGTTTGTAAGTAAAATATCAAGTAGAAAGCATGTTTTTCAAGAATTGTTCATCTTACACATGCACTAGGCATTGCTCATTAATTAAATATCTAGAAATAATTAAGTATAATTTAATCAACACATTTATTATATGCATATAGATATGAATTGAAATGGGATTTGATTTTGATGAATTGATGTGTATTTTGCAATAAATTTCATATAGAAGATTTAGAATTATTGTGTAACTTAACTAGTTTTTATTTAACAGTAAATTATTATGTAGTTATGTTAATTATTATGTAGACACTAATAAAAAAAAAATCTAGCAAGTTCATATTAAATTAACATGTCACTAGACAAGTATTTCAAGTGTAAATCTCTTGGGGATGAAGAGTCAATCAAAGCTTCAAGTCATGTAACTAAAACAAGTACAAAGAAAAGTCATATTGAAATCAACCCCGTCACTCTCCTTGCTGACCCTGCCCTAAGAAGACCAATTTATGAATACCATATAAATGATAGGGATGCAATCCGAAGAGTTTATTTATAAAAAGGTTCTTGTCAACCTTCACGCTATGATTTTTCTCAAAAACAATTTGGAAATATATCAACATTACGACGCTTTAATCCGGCTTAGTTTGGTGTATACCCAACATGGTTAGAGTATAACATAGAAAAAAATGTTACCTTTTGCTTGTATTGTTATCTCTTCAAGTCAAAGGAGAGTGTTAATTCGTTTGTGGGTGAAGGGTTTTCAAATTGAAAAAAAAAAAAGAGGAAAGATTTGATCTTTATATTAGAAAGTCTAATAGTTGTCATAATGCAACTCTAATAAAATATGAAAATTTGATGAATGAAAAACAAAGTATCATTACTTTGTTATCTGAGCAGAAAATAAAGAGTCAAAGTGATTATCGAACTTAATTGAATGCTTTCAATAGAGTGTGCTCGTTTTTTTTACACCAAGGACTTCCATTTCGTGGCCATGATGAATGTGAATGTTCAAGCAACCAAGAAAATTATCTAGAGCTCTTGCATTTTCTTTCCAGAAATAATGAAGCTGTTAGAAGAGTTACTTTCAGTGAAGATCCTAGACATAACAAATTGACTTCTCTAGATATTCAAAAAGACATTACTCAAGCTGCTGCAAAGGAGATTACAAATATGATTATCAAAGATCTAAGTGACTTATTATTTTCAATTTTAATTGATGAGTCACGTGACATATCAATCAACGAACAAATGGCTGTTGTTCTACGATATGTAAACAACAGTGGACATATAATTGAATGTTTTATTGGTATTCAACATGTGCAAGATACAACTGCTAATTCACTCAGGGCAGTTATTAAAGATTTGTTTTCTAAACATGAACTAAACATATCAAGATTGCGTGGTTAGGGATATGATGGAGCTAGTAACATGCGAGGTGAATTCAATGGCTTGAAAGCACTTATTCTAAATAGCAATCCAAGTGTATATTATATACATTATTTTGCTCACAGACTTCAATTAACTCTTGTGGCTATTACAAAGAAGCATAATAAAGTTGGAGATGTCTTTAATTTTATTTTTAGCATTATAAACATAATTGTAGCATCATGTAAAAGGATGGAGGTGATTAGAGAAAAATAATATGCTAGAATTATTGAAGGACTTGAAAATGGAGAAATTTCTAGTGGACGAGGCTTGAATCAAGAAACTTCCCTTAGAAGGTGATACTCGTTGAGGCTCCCACTATATTACAATTATTCGTCTACTTGCAATGTTTTCATCAGTTCTTAATGTGCTTGAGATTATAAGGGAGGATAGGATGAACTCAAAATAGAGAACATAAGTAGTCGTTTTAACAGATATTATGGAATCATTTAATTTTGTATTCATGCTTCATTGTTTGATAAGGATACTAGCAGTTACTAATGAGTTCTCACAAGCATTACAAAGAAAAGATCAAGACATAGAAAATGCTATGAGTTTATTGAAAATATTAAAGGAATGATTCAAAATAATAAGAGAGAATGATTGAGAATCTTTATTAGAAAAAGTGTCATCTTTTTGCATCAAACATGAATTGATATTCTAAATATGGATGATGAGTACAAGCTTCGTGGGCGTTCAAGGTGAAAATCTCAAGGGATTACAAACCTACACCATTTCCGTTATGAATTATTTAATAATATCATTGACATGCAACTTACTGAGTTGGATGATCGTTTTACTAAGACGAGTATAGAGTTACTTCTTTGTGTGGTATGTTTACACCCAAGTAACTTTTTCTCTGCTTTCAACAAAGAAAAACTTTTTCACCTTATTCTTTTTTATCCTAGTGTATTCTTTATAGTGGACCTTATAGTATTTAGTGACTAACTTGATATGTATATTATTGATTTACGTGGTGATGATGAGTTCTCTAGTATTGAAGGTATTGCTCATCTTGCAGAGAAAATGGTAAAAACAAAGAAGAATTTGATATTTCTATTAGTATATATGCTTATCAAATTGTCATTACTTTTACCAGTTGCAACTGCTATAGTGGAGAGAGTTTTTTTAGCTATATATTGTCAAGAGTAGATTGCGGAATATGATGGGAGATAAGTGGATGAATGATAGTTTGGTTGTATACATTGAGAAAGATATCTTCCATAAGATTGATAATGAAGCTATTATGAAGCGATTTCAAAATATGAAAACTCGAAGAGAACAATTATAATGTAAGTTTTTTCAGTTTAAAAGTATTTTTAAATTAATTTTAATTGATATGAATTAGTGTGTATATATATATATATTGAATTGATTTTTAATGCATATCTATATAATATAATATTCGTTAATAATTTGCCCCCTCATTGAAAAAACTATGGCTTTGCCACTTGCATTGTATTCCTGATTAGTACTTAAAAGTGCATTTTTATCATGGTTTTATATCATCATTTTGCACTTGAAGTATCAATAACTCCTTAACTAAAATATGTTTTACAATAATGTATCTAATAATATAAG